ATAGATAAGGGCCTACATGCAAATACCTTTCGTATTATATGTGAAAAATCTCTTCAGATTTGGAAAAAATTAGGTGGTGGTAATACTTCAGCAAATGAATTAATAGCACAATTATCTAACTATTCACTAAAAATTAAACCATATGATTTTGAGTTTGTTCCTGGAATTCATACTGTTAACAGCTGGTGGTTAATGTGTAAGCAAAAAAATAACCATATTCAACAGTTAGCTTTAATAATCCATTCAATAACTCCTCACAATACAAGTTGTGAAAGAATTTTTCTGTACTGGGTTGGTACATGAACAAAAGATGAACAAGGTAAATCCATTATAAAGTTAAATTCATTTATCATTTTTATTTAGTATTACATTTAAATTGATAACCTGGTTATTTAAATTAGATTGAATTATTCATTACTTGAGAAATGGCACAAATGCATTCCTATTATGTAGCCAATGCAATAGATGAAATAAAATATGCATATCAAGGATTAACTGATTCAGAACTTGAAACCATGATTCAAAGAAATGTTTCTTTTGATTTAAGTGATGAAGAAGAGAATGTTGATTTTAATGAAAGTGATAAAAATGAAAATGAAAGTGAAAATGAGAGTGAGAATGAAAATGTAAATGAAAATGAGGATGAAGATGAAGATGAAGGTTTATATGAAGAAGAGCAGCTTGCAGCAGCTCAAATTAATCAAAATCCATTAATGTTTGATCAATTAATTGATGTAAATGATCAAGAATTTCAACGTGCATTGGAAATTGAAGTTTCTGTTTTAATTCCAGCTACTGAGATTGTTGAACATGGAGATCAAGAATTTGACATACAATCAATTGTAGAAATTGCAATGTTAAGAAGATTAACAGATTGAATTCAACTTTTAGTGATATTAGTTAAAATTTTATTTTTTTTTGTTTAATTATGGTAAAAATAAAAAATAAATAAATATTAATTTTGCATTTTTTAAATAATAATAAACCGAATTTATTTCTTTGATTAAATGTTACGCAGGTTCACCCCTGGATTTGTTGCCTCGGTAGTTTATCGGGAAATTTTCGAAAGTTAATGGGGATCCACAAATAATTTGGGATGTCATAAATAATTTGGGATGCTATAAATAGTTTGGAATGTCATAAATAATTTGGGATGCTATAAATAATTTGGGATGCACAAAATTTCAAATCCTCCACCCAAAATTTAATTTGTGCATTTGGGATGCTATAATCCCAAATAATTTGGGATTTGGGCAACATCTTTACTTGTGTATAAAGTTTTATATGTAAAGTTTGATTTTTTACTATGAAATGCGCATCATTTTTAATTTTTAAGGCGTGACAGTTTTGGATTCACAAGATCTATATGTGTAACATCGAGTTGCCATTTATTTACTTACCCCTAGGTATTAGTAGACATCATCAAAAAAAAAAAAAAGAATTATTGATTTGATCGACAAACGCGTTCATTAATTATTATTCCACAGTTGACTCTGTTTATACCGAAACCTCTGTCATGAGAATTTTTGTTCGTTATAGCCAGCTAGATGTGTCACGTGTTGGAAACATATATAATAATAATTTAATTTGGTTTCAATAATATTTATTGATCAGAAAAGCTTATAAGAGTTATTTTTATAATATGAAATTATAAAACATTCTCAAATATAAATAAAATATAAATAAGAATCTTATCAATCTATCCAGAAGAAGCAATGAATGGAAATAAAAGAAACAAATAAAAGTAACAAAAGTATATAGAATTATGAAATATAATTTATGTATTGCTACCAAATCATCTGGAAATTTGAGGGTATTTATAATAAAGTATTAACATTACTAATCACGCGAATTCTTTTTTTTTACAAAAAGCCATGACATAATATTTTTAATACTAATTAATAATATGTAAATGCAATATAATTAATTTGACAATAGTTTGATTGAATGATTTTTTGTTCTGAGTGGCAATGGTTACGTTTTTTTTGATATTCTAAAATGTTTTAAAAACGAAATTTTGCATTATGTTACACATGATATTACATGTGTTCATGTGAAAATTCGTTATAGGAAGAGCAAATTAAATAAGAAACTTCAAAAAAGGTGAGCTCGGATTCGTTATAAACAGATTTATTAATTATAAAAATTCGGTCATGATGTATTAGAAAACATCTTATCAGAGAAATGTCCTGTTGGGGAAAAATGGACGCAACCTTTTAAAATAGTTATTAGATTATAATTGATTCATCAAGAACAGAATTAGATGGATTATATTTATGTAACTTTTTTTTAATAAGATATTCATTAATTTACCACCCGAAGCTTTAATTGAAATATTCAAACGCATTGATGATGATGATATTGTCAGTAAACAACCTTATGGAGAAATCCATTTTAAAATAGTAATTAATTGTCTATTAATAGATGACAAAGAATTTTATTAAATAGCAACGTTGAATTAGCTTTTCAACTATTTGGAATTATTGATGGCTAGTTTAATAGGAAGATTATTAGTGGTCTGTAATAAAATTTGTTTGGATATGAAATTCTGATTGGCTATTTGAATTTCACAATTGCAGATTCAAATTTTTTTTTTCAGTTACAAAAAAATTTAGATCTTTATTTTAGAAAAAAATCATTTACTTTTTTTTCCATTTATCAATTCGTGTTGAGCGTATTGTATCTCCATTTGTGAGTTAAATCGTTACTTGCGCACACGGGTTTTTTACTTATTATTAAAGATAAAGTCAATTTTTAAAAGAAATCAAAAAAATGTCTAATTCAGAACTTGCTATCAGTTATGCTGCACTTATTCTAGCAGACGACGGTGTTGAAATTACTGTAAGTTTAATTATAAAATCTTTATTTCAAGAAAAGAGGAGTAAATAAATAAATAAATAATTTATTTATTTATTATTTATTCATGTTAAAATTGAAATTTTTTTCTTAGTCTGATAAATTAACAACTTTAACCAAAGCTGCGGGTATTGATGTTGAACCAGTATGGGCAAATTTATTTGCTAAAGCTCTTGAAGGAAAAAACGTTACTGATCTTTTAATGAACGTTGGTGCAGGTACAACATTAAAAAAATAGTTTATATGATTTCCTTGTTTTTCTGTTTGATAATTATTGTGACAATTAATTTGATCAATTAATCAATTAGGTGGTGCTCCCGCTGCAGCTTCAGCTGGTGGTGGCGGTACTACTGGTACTGCAGACGAAAAACCTAAAGAAGAAGAGAAACCCAAGGAGGAAGAGAAAGAGGAATCTGATGATGATATGGGATTCGGTAAATATAAATAAATAAATATGTTTTTTAATTTACCAATAGTTTGACGTTTTAATATTTTTCAAATCATTTTCTAGGTCTTTTTGATTAATTTGGGAAATTTATAATAATTATCACAACAACTATAATAATAAAAAACAAATTTGATATTTTTTTATTCTAAAAAAAAATAATAAATAAAGTTATTTATTATTAAATTATTAACAAGTGAGCATTGGTAAAAAAACCACATAAAAGAACATGAGTGAATAATATCCATCAATAGAATTTATGATATCCATTTATGTCCAGAAATGTGGAATATAAAAACACACAAAATGTCTTCGTCCAATTTATAATATATATTTTAAAAAAATTTATATTTTGGAATGTATAATTTTGACATTTACTTTTGCTAATTTTTCGATTTCTATAACGCATTCATATATAATTTGCGGTTTTCCAAAATGACAGTAAAAGCGGATGAATGTAAAACATGACAATGTTATCTATCTGAAAGATCCATTAATTAATTCTTTAATTACTTTGTTACAAGTTATTGTACCTTGGGCTTGGAGAAACAATATTCAACTTGCAAGAAATTTATTTTTAGAACATTCAGCCGTGATAATTATCTCTATATATAAAATTATCTGAATCTTTACTGATATACTCTCTAACAAATGAACCAATTTATTGCCACTTTTAAGATTTTAAATTTTTTGTATGTTCATTAAACCTGAGTCTTTTATGAAATTTTCAGTGTGGTAATTTGTTTATTATGATATATTACAATTTCAGGTTTTGGCTCTACTTAATATCGAAGTACTTATTTGATCAATCAATCTTTAAAAACAAACTTTTTATTCAATAAAGAATTATTATTCTTTTCTTTTATGTTTTAACAAACCCCGAATAATTCTCTGGTTTCTATGATTTCATTAAAACTACAGTTTGTTCAGTGTTGTTCTGGATTGAGATCCATTAAATTAAATTTATATGATGGTATTTGAATTATAAAGCCTTATTTTTCATTAGCCCAATTAAGAATTTAAAAGATTTCAATTCTAAATTCGTTAATTGCCATTCAACATTAAGATAATCTCTTAATATACATACATCATCTTTATCAGATACTTTTTTGTAAGGCCTGAATTTTTTATAAAATCATGTTAATAATGGAATGGTATCTTTTAAAATATTTTTCATTTATCTTTATTCCAATGCCTTATGATTTCCGATTTGAATGGCATAATATTAAACTTCACTTTCATCTAATTCTAACAAATCATTTTCCAATATGCTTATAAGCATTTATTTTCCAATGGCAGCAATATCATTGGATGTAAGAAATAACTAGATTACTTCTCATCTTCCCCAAGCATCATAGAAATCCGAATCAATCAACAAAGTTTTTAAATCATTTACAAGTTTACAAATATGTTTTAATGGTAGAGCATCACCTCTAGAATTGATAAGATTTTCAACTAATAGATTGAAATCTTCAAAGGAGACATTTTGAATAATTATTTTTTAAAATAAAAATTTTTTTATTTTGTTTCAGAAACTTCAAGTCTTCTGAACAAAAATTTTATTTTATAATTTTTTGTATAAATAAATATATTATATTAAAATAAGGATCCAATAAAATAAATTCTATAATCTCACTTATCTCCACATTTATAATTAATGCTTATACATATTTATATAAAAGTCATATATATCTTCCCATTATTCAACTTTGATTTTTGTTGGAGGAGCTATTGATGATCAATAAACAAAATAAATTAATAAAGCTTAAATAAATAAATAAATGATGCATCCATTCATTCATTTGATTATATACGTACCAACATATACACGACTCAAAAATTTCATTATTTCATCTATAAAAATAACAGGTAATGATATATATATGACTGCTTGCCATTCAGCCCAAGTTAAAGGTACAATTGCAAAAAGCATCTATAGAATTAAAATTACATCAATATTAATATTATTATTTTTTAACAAAGATTTTCATTAATAATAATAATGAGACTTACCGAAAAGAATGGAACATAGAGTATCATGAAATGTAATAACATTGAAAGACAAATCGAATATACAAGGTACATATTACTCCATACTGGAAGGGTTAATAGACTTTCATTTTCGCTGAGAGAGTTTGTGGCATTAAACATTTCAATGGTTACCAAAACAGAAAGTGACATTGTGGTTGCACGCATAGACATTACGTTAGAAAACATTTCACAACCAATTTCCGGAAATAACTCATTACACCTGTGAAAATTAGACTAATTATGAAAAAAGTGGAGTAAATAAAATAATTTTTTTGTCTGAAAAATTCATTGAAAGAATTTTCATAGAAAACATATAAATATAATTTTTTTACCAATTGATAAAAAGAAATTTGTGGTCCATCTTCATAAAACAAAAACCACCAAGCATATGCAAACACTGTAGCTGCACCAACATAAATACCAACAATAAGGTAGCGAAAGAACAGCCACTTTCCAACAATAGGTTCATGAGCATTTCTTGGTGGACATCTCATTATATCATGATCTGGAGGATTGAACCCAAGTGCAACAGCTGGAAGACCATCAGTTACAAGATTTACCCAGAGAAGTTGAACGGGTATTAATGCTTCTGGCATACCAAGTATTACTGTTAAAAAAATACTAAAAATATATATTACGGTTATATTGTCAATGTTCTTAATTTTAAATAAAAAATTTTAAATAGAAATGTATATCTATTTACCTGACAACTTCACCAATATTTGAACTTATTAAATAGCGGATAAATTGTTTGGTGTTATTATATATAGATCTACCTTCTTCAACAGCTCCTTCAATAGATGCAAAATTATCGTCGGCAAGAACCATATCAGCAGCTAGCTTGGCAACATCAGTTCCGGATCCCATTGCTATACCAATATCAGCTTTCTTGAGAGCTGGTGCATCATTTACACCATCACCCGTCTATTTTGTGATGATGTGAATAAGATTTATAAAGAAAAAGGAGATATATATATTTATTATTTATTTATAATATAGTACATACCATAGCAACAATTTCACCTTGACTTTGTAGTAAATCAACAAGCTCAGATTTGTGGATTGGTTCGGTTCTTGAAAATAAACTAGCTCGTTTTACTGCTAATAATTTATCATCTTTTGACATTTGATCAAATTCTCTACCAGTATATGACTTTCCTGTTAAATCTTCATGTTCACCAAATATACCAATTTTTCTGCAGATGGCTTCAGCTGTATTTTTATTATCACCGGTAATCACAATAACTCGAATACCAGCAGTTACACATTTTCTTATTGATCCAGCAACCTCAGGACGTGGTGGATCAAGCATACCAACAAATCCAATAAAAGTCATATTTTGCTCTATCTGAATAAATGTACTAGGTTCGCTAAAATTATAATTGCTCAATGATGATGATGTCAATCCACTAATTTTGGCAATAGCTAAAACACGTAAACCTTGTTTACCATATTCTAAAATTTTTTCATTTAATCCTTGTCTAATTTTATGAGTTAATTCCGAAGTTGCAGGGCCAATTGCCGATGATAAACGTACAAATTTACAACGATCAAGTATAGATTCTGGTGCACCTTTTACAAGTAATGTAAATGAAGAACTATTTTTTTTTGATTGTACTAAAACAGACATTGATTTTCTATCACGTGAAAATTCAAGTGTAGCTGACTATAATACAAAGCATAATACAGTAGAATATTAATAGGACATTTTTTTAATAAATAGCAAAATAAAAAATAAAAACTTACACGACGATTAAGATTATCATAATAATCATTACATGCGGTTGTACGAGCTTTTGATGATAGTTCAGAAAGAGTAGAATTGAAAGATGGATTATCAGTACCAAGCTTTTCAACAAGTACTTTGAGAGCAGCTTCAGTGGGTTCACCAACATTATTATATGTAGAAGTTGCCTAAAGTTATAAAATTGTTAATATTAGATAAGGGTAGATAAAGATTACCAATTACAATGAAAATAAAAACTGAAATATTTACATCATCATAGGAAATACGTGAATCATTACATAATGCACAAACTTGAGCCAGATCATTTACACAAGAATTAGTTAAAGGAAGTGCTGATTCGACAATTTTGTCATCAGAAGTACTGTAGATAAATTTAGTTAGTTTTTTTATTGAAATAAGTAACAAGATATAAATATATATTAAAGAATAACTTACAAAATATTACCATGTGGTGAATAACTTGAACCCTCAACATGATATTCTTGAAATTCACAGAATTCATTGAATACAACAAGTATCTAAATAATTAAATATTGATTAGTTTATTTAAAAATCATATATATAATATATGTATATGCATGTATATGCGCATGTATGTGTGTGCATACCCTTGATACACTCATGCGGTTTGTAGTGAGAGTGCCAGTTTTATCAGAACAAATAATACTAGTACAGCCTAATGTTTCTACAGATGGAAGTGAACGAACAATAGCATTTCTTTTTGCCATTTTTTTGGTGCCCAAAGCCAAACATGTAGTAATAACTACAGCCAATCCTTCAGGTATTGCAGCAACAGCTAGTGCAACAGCAATTTTGAAATAATAAATAGCACCTTTAACCCAATTATGATGTGAAGGATCATTGAAATGACGAATGTTTATAACCCATACAAGTACACATATAACTGATATAACCTAATTGAATATAAAAATTGAATACATGAATAATAATATTGATAAAAAAAATTTTTTTTTTTAATATAAAAATAATGATGATTACTTTAGCAAGTAAATCACCAAATTCATCCAATTTACGTTTTAAAGGTGTTTTTTCGGATATTTGCGTTGCAATACTTTTGTGAATATCTCCTATTGCAGTCCTTGATCCTGTCTGAACTATGACTGCACGGCCTTTTCCTAATACAACTGTAGTCCCCTTCAATGCATACACATAAAGAAATAAATACATAATACATAATATTAATTGATGAGATATCAAAGTAATGTAATTACCGAAAATAGCACATTTTTTTGATCTTGCTTTACAGCATTTGGATCATTAATTGCTTCAGTGACTTTATTAACACTAGCATTTTCACCAGTCAATAGAGATTGATCAACACGAAAGGTGGAAGAGCTAATCTTTAATAAGCGAGCATCAGCAGGAATTTTATCACCCACAGCAATATCAATAATATCACCGGGGACAAGTTCAGATGAATGGATTTTAAAGAGGTGACCACTGCGTAAAACTTTTGCTTCATCAGGTGAATACTCTTTTAAAGCCTAAATATTAAAGGTTACAAGATGCAAACCCATACATGCAAATACATACACGTGTATAAATTAGATTTTTACACAATGATGTTAAAATATATTTTCAAAGTATCAATTAAATATTTAAACAAGTAAATTACCTCAATAGCCTTTTCAGCATTAGTTTCTTGTATTACACCAACAGTAGCATTTGCAATTAAAATTAAAAGAATGACAATCGGCTCAACAAAAGCTGTTCCCTGTTCATTTTCTTCTTCCAATAAAGCAAGAACAAAAGATATTGCAGCAGAAATCAAAAGGATGATTACGAGCTGATCCTTAAATTGTTCTAAAATAAGTTCTATTAAAGGAGTAGATTCTTCTTGAGGGAGTTCTTTTATATTATTTAGAAAAAGTAAATTTACGTTATTAAAAATTTGATCCGTTTAATTAATTAAAACTTTTTTATGTAAAGGTAGATGTTATTAGTTGTTTTATTAGGGGTGTTCTTGAAAAAATTAAACAGATAACTAGTTTCAAAAGAAATTTGTTAATTAATTAATTAAAATACCATTTTTTCCATATTTTCCAATTGCCTCCTGAAGTTGTTTTTCGGTTAAACCATGTTCAATATCAACATCAAAATATTCCAAGATTTCTTCTGGAGTTTTAGTATAAGCTTTATCCATTATTGTTATTAATGTTATTATTCTTATATTATTATTTATTAATACTAACGATGGTTGAAATAATAAATTAATTAATTAAAAAGAAGAAAAAAGTAAATAAATAAATATGATATGATAAAAAAAAATGAAGGGTTTTGATCGTCAAGGTATCAATTTTTTATTATCATCATGTTATCTATTTATCTAATATTCTAACCAATTAAAATGAAACACATGAAATCTTTGATCATGATGTTTAACTTTATACTTATATTATATATATATAGATAAGTATGTATATGCATGCATACATATAAAAAGTTGATGATGATAATTTTTTATCCAAAGAAATTTTTTAAAAATATATTTTGCTATATAGGAATGTATGTATATATACTATAATCACGTGTTCTGTGCAAGTAGCTTCGCAGATATCCAAAAAAGGAGATACAGTAAAATACTCCAAGAGCTTATAAATTGCAAGAAAGAATTAATTTTGCTGTGAAGTAGATTCGTGATATAGTATAAATCATTTCATTAGATATATGAAGGAATTAGGTAGTATTACAGCTGAATGTTATAGTCAGGAATTTATTGGTTACAAATCAACAGCCAAATAGGTTACCTGAATCGATCAATTTTGGAACGACAATAAGTAAAATATGAGGTCTTCGTCATTTTTATTTTCTTATTTCTAAAGTTACTGGTTTGTAGAATGTTCCATCACCAGCAGAAAACTCCGTAATAATAAGGATTTATTTATACAGTTACTTGGATTCTAATTTTGCTATTGTTATTGTTGTGCAATTAATCAGATTAGTGAGTGATGTATGTCAACCGGTAGAAAAATTTTACCCGGCTAAGCCAATCAACACTTGATACGAATTTATCCAAGTTCTTAGCCGGCTAAATAAATCTATTATGCGGACGAATTATATATTTGTACGAATTACTAAAAAATGATAATTTATAAAATCTTAAAAAACCACTTTAAAAAAAGAACATTGTGGATATTATTTTTACCAAGCCTATTATTTCCCTTTCCCGTAAATAAATCCTCTCAGATGGTACTGAGTGAGTTTGTTGGTATCACTACTTGCTTGCATAGCAAGATGATTTTTTCTGTTTCCACCAAACAAACGATTTACGAATTGTACATTCGAAATATTTGCATGTACGGCTAATACTAATACTAGCATATTTTTTGAATAATTGCATTATTATTTGAGTTAATTGAAATTGGATTAAACGGGAATGTAAATTAGTATTATCCAAAACATCAGATATATTTTGATCATAGTCCTTTAAAAAATTATCTTCATTTATTAATCCAAAAGGTTCACCACAATTATTACTTAATGGTTTGCTGTTATGTTATATGGTTTATTGTCCCGTCGATCGATGGTGGAAATTTAACAAGTATATTCCATATTCGCCACATAAGAAAATTGGCCGAGGAAAAGAATTTTCACTGGATTAATTATTTATATTTTAGTAGATTAATATATTGGCTCGTATTCGATTTGTATCCGTATTCGATTTGAATCAGTTTGAATTTCATTAATTCGTTCGGAGCATTGGTTATGAACTTTTATATCACTATTCTCGTTGTCCTTTGTTTGCATATCTTCAATTCCGTGTTCAGATTCTGATTTATTACCATCTGAATCTGTAACATAACCTTTACCAAGTTATTTTTATCTGATAGATTTGGTAATATATGCAATTATTATTTGTGAATTATTTATACAATCCTCCTATAAGGTAAAAATAAAAAATAATTAGTAATAATAATATATTAAAAATGAATATTGTAAAATAGTAATTTTACATATTAATATCACGGAAAGTTGGCGAAAGTTTTGTGAAAATAAAATTGAAAAAAACTGATCAAGGAATTCATATTTATCATCATCATAATAATTTAATAATTAACAGTTTTTATCCTTGTCCTTGTCTTGTTGTTGTCTTCGAATATTATATTTTCGTAATGATAATAAATTTACCTCTAACAATGAATTCATACTAATCCCGTACATAATTATTTTCTCTTATTTTATAATTATCACTATTTTTTTATAATTTTTCATTTCATTTCATTTCTTTTAATGAGGTAATATTTAATAAATTTTATTTAGTAGTTTTTGGATACGTACCCGAATTGGTGGTAAAGAGAAAACAGCTAGAAGGCACCCACTAAGAAATGTGATCAGGATATATGATGTAAAACCTAAAGAAGATATTATTTAGTATTTCTTAGTATAAGAAATGATAGTGAAAGATAGCTTTGAGAGTAAAGCATAAATATACATTCCCAGAAATCACGATTTAGCATAAATAAATTGGAAGAAATTTGTATCAACATTGTTGGCAGATTGTTATAAATAAAATATTGAGAGATTTACTGTGAGTCGTGGATTTTTATCTCAATTTTACTTGTAAGTATCATGCAAAAATATTTAATTAATGTTCTCATTCAACGTCTTGCAATTGTCAAATTTTGGTATTATCATCAAATGCAAAAGCCATGAAAGTTTTTATAATATCAATATTGATTGATTAAGTTACCTTGCAATAACAAACCCATATTTATTTTTATCCTTATTGTAATGATATTTCATTCTGGTCTTCGCTTGAAAAGCACAACTGCAGGTCCTCGCAGAGGAAAATAATAGATGATTAATTAAATGAAATTAATCATTAATAAACTTTTAGTGTCTTTATTTTCTTTGTTTAAAGCACTTTGATAAAAGTAACAAGTTTAGTTAGTGCCTTGGTAAAAGGTAACAAATGTGGAGTTTTGGTAAAAAGCCACGTTTATTTGCTTTAGTGAGTAAACAAGCAAGGCTAGGACTAACATTGGTTAACTAATGAGGGTTAACAACAATTAGTAATGTAAAAGCAAGGTTAGGACTCACAGATTCATCTAGGTGCAGTAATCAATAACCAAAGTAAAGTTATTAATTGACAAGCACCAAATTATTTGCAATTAACTGACAAGGGTAGCCCAACAATTAAGTCATAATTGTTAATTAACTGAAATTATACCTCACAATTGTAAAAAGTTTATTATTTCAAAACATCATTATAATTTAACTTTGAGAAAAATAAAAAATAATAATAAATTTATAGTGGAGATTAAATCAATTACTAATATTACTAATGTTTAATTAATATTATTAGTAATTTCCTATTGATTAATAATGAAAATTTTATTCACCTATGTTAACATTCTAGGGAAAAGAGCTAAAATCAAGATTATTCAATGAACTATAATTGCTTGTATAAATTTTGAAGTTTTTGGATTTGGCAATCTCTTCATCTAATATTCTACTTGCATGGCATGCACCTGGATGTGATTTGTGTGCTTGTTGCAAAGCATTACTACCACTACTAGTAGTATGATTATCATTATAATCATTGTTATTTCTAATAGTTTCTTCTAGATTACCAGCAAAATCATAAAGCTCCCTACTAGTTGGTCTTTTTGGTGGGTCCACATCCCAACATCTTTGCATCATTTGCGCATAATCTTCAGGCATTCCAGGTAATATTGGTGGTCGTAAACCTTCACATATATCAAAAATCAAATGATGATTGTGAGCCCTATCATCAAATGGTGGGTGACCTGCAAATATTTCCCACATTAACATCCCAACACTATAGATATCTGTCTCTTTGGTGTTCTTCATGTTATTGCCTCCAAATAGCTCAGGTGCAACATATGATACAATTCCATAGATTTTATCTGATGACTTTTCATCAACTGGTCCACATAACTCCAAATCTGTAATATAACAACCACCTCCTTGCATTAATAGATTACCACTATGTAAATCACAATGGATTAAATCTTTTTCATGTATATGATCTAATGCTTCACACAAAAATCTAAAGATTATAATCCTGTCTTTTAATGTTAAATTTAAATGATTTTTTTTCAAATAATCCCTTAAATTTCCTTCTCTAGCATAAGATAGAACTATTGCATAGTTTCCATTATCTGGGAATTTGGTTATACCATAACAAAAAACAATCAACCCTGATTTAATTTCACAATAATTCATTGCCTGAAAATAAAATATAAAACCAATTAGTATGATATATATAATACAGTATTGTTTATTTTGTTTAAATGACAACTACAAACCTCATCAAAAAAGGCTTTTCCTGGATTACTTGAATCATTTAAACTTTTTAATACTACTAGTTGCTCTTTTAAATAACCAAATTCCTTTTTATTTTCGTTGTAATCATCAATAGTTCCTCTTGTCCATGTAGCAGTAAAAATCGAACTAAATCCACCTTCTGTCAACTTTGACACTTTTTTAAATTGCTCAAAAGGTATCCATTCTAAAATATGGTGTGGCAGAGACGATTTCATTTGACATTGTTGAATAAAATCATCAATTGTGTTATTTCCAGATGTCCAAGTGGTGAAAAGACTCTGCAATTGTAAACTAATGCAACCTTCACAGAACCTATCAGAGTATCTTGTCAATTTACACTTGTTACATTCTTTTGGTTTACCATATTTATATCTTGCATTATCTAATTCAAACTCATAAATAAACCTTTTCTTACAAAATTCTTTTTCATTTTCAGAAAGCTCCTTGTTTTCTTTCTTTGACCAATGAAAAAAAATAATATTTTATACTTTCTTCATCAGAATTAACTACTGCATTATCATACATTTCAACATGAATTTTATCTATAAAATCCTCTCTTTCTGGTGATAATAATGATAATAGTTTAACGTATGACATTATATAAAACTGTAATATACACTTCCTGGTCATAAATATAAGGACACTTGCAGATCATCAGAAATAATTGAATAAAGAAACATGAAAAAAAATAAAAATTTTATTAACCTAACCGCATTTGCTTATTAAGTAAAAATTCATCTTCATATCAAATAGTATAACATACTGAAGTTTCGCTGCATATAAACAACAACTTGTTGTTTTACGAACCTTAAAAAATAAAAATGAATTTTTCGGAATTTTCAAAAAAATCTTTAACTCGAAAATTGACCACAATGTCGAGTTCTAACGACCTTTGCGGTATAAGTGAAAAATGCGTCTTATGTTTGAATCTAGTTATATCCAAAGTTCTAGATCATTTGGTAAATTAATTGCCAAGATGTCATACAAAATTCTCAAACGAGTTAATTTTGAAGATCTTTTAAAAAAATCCCAAATTAGATAATTCATTTAAAGTAAACTTTAACCATTTCATTTTTTTTAAA